CGGGCCCCGCCCCCCCGGCCGCCCCTGCCCCCCCGCCGGGCTCTGGGCCAACTATAAATACCGTATATATAGGAACTGCTGTAGTGACGCTCCCCGTCCCCGCGCCCCGTCTCGCCCCGTGGCTTCTGCTTCCCCCCAACACCGTCGTACGATCGTGTGGCCGTTGCTAACGGGGCCGGGGGGCCCTGCCTGGCCCTTCCCCCCCCCCCCCACCCCCCCGCTCCCTCCCTCGTCGCGGTTCCGAGTGTCGGGAACCACCTGCATCCAAGGAAAACCGTGCTCTGTGCTTTCCTGGTATCTTCTTATCGAGGTGCAGTAGCTTTGTCTCAGCCCAGAACTATTACTTGTGGTGTTTCTTTTATTGAGCTTAACGGTCTCTTTAGTAATTACAGGTAGTGGGTAATTGTTTCAAAAAAAGCAAAAAAAAAAAAAGCAAAAAAAAAAAAGCTCTGCAAAGGCAAGGTTATGTTCTAGAAATACATTTCTTGACAACGTATCATGTATAACAAATCTCTGCTTTTTTTTCTTGTGTTCTTCCAAGCTTCTGGTTGTTTGGTTGGTTTTTTTTTAAAAAAAAAAAAAAACAAAAAAAAAAAAAAAAACAAAAAAAAAAACAAAAAAAAAGAGGAAACGTGTGTAAAGTCCATCAGTGTTAACTCCCTGCCACAGGGAAGAAGGAAATACTTTAATAGTTTAAAAAAATGCTGAAAGCTCTGCAAAAGACTGAATGTAAAAATAAAAAAGTGTACATAGTTGTAAAAACAAAAAACAAAAAAACAAAGGAGTTTTTAAACATGTTTATTTTCTATGCACTTTTTTTTATTTAAGTGATAGTTTAATTAATAAACATGTCAAGTTTATTGCTGCAGAGGGTGGCTCTGGATTCTTCTTGAGGGGCCGAGAAGCTGCTTCCCGGGGTCTCCACTTCTCCCTCAGGGGACTTGAGGGGGACAGAAGCCGCCGGCCAGCGCCACAGGGGGTTTGGTGGGTTCTGGTGGGTTCTGGTGGACAGGACGGGACGGTGCCCAGGGTCACCTTGTGAAGCCGCGGGGCGTCCCGCTGGGCGGGCGCCCGGGGCCGGGTGGGCAGCGGGGCCAGGGATAGGCCGTGCCGGGGGCGGCGGGGCCCACGTGGTGACCCTTGACCGGCCACGGGCTCCAGGCACACGGGGCACCATGGCCACGGCCAACGACAGGGCTGTCCTGCAGACCATCTTCAACCCCAGCACCCCCTTCGGGGACATCCCGGGGCTGGACGAGGAGGAGGAGGAGGATGCCCAGGAGGAAGGTGGGGTGACGCGGCAGCCCCTGGGGTGTCCGATCCCTCCCGGTGCTCCCCGGCCAAGCTCTCCCTGTTGTGCCGCGCAGGGGACGGCTTTGCACCAGAGCTGCTGGAGCAGGCACGGGACCTGGAGCTGCAGGGGGTCTCAGCTGCCGAGTCGGGGGATGTGAGCGCAGCGCTGGAGCGCTTCGGGGAGGCCATTCGCCTGCTGCCCCAGCGCGCCTCCGCCTACAACAACCGCGCCCAGGCCCTGCGCCTGCGGGGGGACGTGGCAGGTGAGTGGCGATGCTGGGGCCGGGAGGGGGTTGGCCCCTGGTACCCCAACCTACCCCAACTCCCCTTTTCCCCCCCAGGCGCCCTGCGGGACCTGGACACTGCCATCGCACTGAGCCGGGGCCGTGGCCGTGCCGCCTGCCAGAGCTTCGTGCAGCGGGGCCTGATCCACCGGCTGCAGGCGCGGGAGGAGGAGGCGCGGCAGGACTTCGAGCGGGCAGCGCGGTTGGGCAGCAGCTTCGCCCGGCGGCAGCTGGTGCTGCTCAACCCCTACTCAGCCCTTTGCAACCAGATGCTCTGCCAGATGCTGGGGCAGCTGCGCAACCCCGGCAGCGAGTGAGGGGCAGGGGACAGGCAGGGCCCGGGTGGGAGCAGGATCTTGTCCCTCCTCCTGGGGGATGATGGGAGACAGGAAGCACCGAAGGGCTTTGTCTGGGCTCCGCTCCCCCACAATAAACCTTCCCGTGTCCCCAGCACTTGGGCTCTGTGTGCGGTGTGAGGTGATGCCTGCACGGGGCTGGGCAGGGCGCTGAGCCCCCCCGACTGAAGAGGGGAGGTGATGGGGGGCACAGGGAGGGTCATTCCTCCCCAGCTGGGTGGTCTCTGGCTGCTCTCCCATGCACTCATCCGGGCCTGACCCCGCTGTCACCACGGGGGCTGCGGGGCCCGGCGGGAGGGATGGTGGCGGCGGTGCCGGGACCGCCCCTGCGCTGCATGCAGGGCCGCAGTGTGGGCTGGGCTGGCGGCAGCAACGGCCACGCTCCAGGTAAGGCGCAGCCTGGCTGCATCCTCTAGCGCCGCTGCATGCAGGGCCTCTGCATCCCTGCTCCAGCTGCCTCTCTCCCTGCGCTGAGCGGGGCCGGTTGGCCATGGGGCACCTTGGGGGCCAGCCAGGGGCTGCCCTCGTCCGGCTGCTGCTGCAGCTCTGCCGCCCGCTGCCCTGCCTGGTGAACCGCTCCGGCAGCAGCTCTGACGCGCAGTGAGATCTCTGGCAGGGCTGGGGGAGCCGGGCCCCACCGCCAATGGGCAGCCACCGGCCGCGTGGGCGCTGCAGGAGGAGAAGAGCCGAGCCATCACCAGCCAGGCCCCCCAGCCGGCCCCCAGCACTGCGCTGACGCAGTACCTCGACCGCCACAAGCTGGAGGGGAACAGCTCAGCTGCCGGCATCCTCAGCCTCGCTGCCCGGCGCAGTCACTGCCCGCTCGGCTCCCCCGACCCTCCGGGGACACCTGCACCGCCTGCCGCCTCCTCCACGCGCAGCGTAAGGCCTGTGGTGCTGGGGAGGGCGTGTGGGGCTGTGGTCTGTGTCCATCGGGGCTATGGCGGGGCAGAGTCTCACCCGTCCTGGGTGACCGCGGCTGAGGAGCGCTTGGGGCCCTGGGGGAGGCGAATCCTGCCCCTGTGGGCACTGCCTCTGCCCCCCTGCCCTCTCACTGCCTGTTCACCACAGAGAAGCCGGGGCCCCCACGGGCAGATGCCTGTTACCAGCAGGTGGAGGCCGCGGGGCTCCTCCTGCTGCTCCCTGTGCTGCTACGAGTCAACCCACCAGCCAGCATTGCCTGAGTGGCCCAGGACGGGCAAGTGATGGCCAACGCCTCTGAGATCCTGCTCCTGGGCGCCGCACGCTACCCGGGGCTGGCCAACTTCTCCATCAGTGCCGCCAACAGCGTGGGCGTCACCACGGCCTCCCTCCTGCCCCCAGGTAGGTGCTGGGGGGTGGGTGCAGAGCAGCGGCCCCGCAGAGGGTGCTGAGGGGGCCACGCTACCCGTGCAGGTCTGCTGGACGCCCGCGTGGAGCTGCCCCTGCTCGGCGTGGCTGTGGGAGCGGCACTGGCCCTGGGCGCCCTGCTGGGGCTGGGCTCCTGCCTGGTCTGCCTGCTGTGCCGCCGTGGCAAACCAGCACCAGGAGGCAGCCCCCTCATCCCGTGCCCCCGCTGCAGCGGCCCCCAGCTCCCCCAGCGTCTGCCCCACCAGAGCCGGTCCCTGCCCCCCGATCTGCGCCTCGACGACCTGGTGCGGGAGGATGGAGGTGAGACCCCTGAGGGGCTGGTGTGGGGGACACGTGGGGCCACGGGTCCTGCCTGGGTGAGGGTTGATGTCCTACTCTCACCCCTTTCCATCCCCACAGCTGCCCCCAAGGACCCAGGAGCTGGAGCCCAGGGAGAGGAGAACCCCCTGCCGGGGCCACAGAACACCCTGGTTGTCAGCAGGCTCGGTGAGAGGACAGGGGAGGCGAGCGGCCCCAAAAACCCTGCTGTGGGGACACCCGCCTCCACAGCCACCCCAAAAGGCGCTGGCAACGAGCTGTCTCTGTCCCACAGGTTTTATCCAGCTCCCGATGTCCGGGCGCATCTACAAAGTGCCGAGTGTGAGCAGCGACGAGATCTGGCTGTGAGCGGTGCCAGGTACGTGCCGGGAGCGCAGCCGGGGCTGTGCCGGGTGGTGGGCGCCGATGGGCTGTACGGGAAGGGGCATGCTGCAGGTCGCAGTCGCCGTGTCGTTAGCCAAGGCTTGGTTTTATGTAGCCCAAGCACTTTTCATGGCCAGCATCATCCTCGCTGCCCTGACAGAGCTGTGGCAGACGGGTTGGGAGGCAGCACGGTGCGGGCTGGAGAGTTGGCCCAACAGCAATAAACTAAACTTAAGGGTTGCCCGTGTGGTGCCACGCTGGTCGTCTGCCCTCGGTAGCTGCAAAGGGGCTCGATAACTGAGGGTGGAGGGGACTGGAGATCCCTGGATCAGAACACACCAGGCAGATCCGAGCGTGGTGTCTGAGCACGGAATTTATTCCCAGCTGCTGCAGCTGGAGGAGGCCCTGCCCCATCTGTGGCGCAGGGAGCCTGGCACTGGGTGAACTGCTGGGGACAGGGCAAAGACGGAGTGACGGGGCAGCTTCTGCCACAACTGTGCTGGGTGGAGCCCTGCTCTGTGAGCACAGAAAGGCAGCACCTCTACGAGCTGGGGGGCTCTGGGCCAGTGAGCTCCAGGGGCTGCTGGGGCCAAACCTGGGGGTCTGGGGTGGGCATCAATGCAGGAGACGGGGGTTTAACGTGAAGTATCAAGTGAAGCTCAACACTTCTGCCTCCGCCACTTGCGAGGGTGGGTTGGAGGGCGGGCTCCGGCCTTTCTTCCCCTCAGCCAGGGGCTTGAAGTGCTGCGGGGGAAGAATGCGTTAGGGCAGTGATTCCACTCTCGTTAATTAGAGTGCCCGTGTGCACCTGGAAATGCCACTCGTGCTCTGCGTGAGCTGCTGCTCAGCCCCCACCACGGTGGGAAAAGCCGTCTGGGCTGTGAAATGAGGCAGCCTCCCAGCCTTGGGGCACATCAGAGGTAACGGGGGATATAAGGGAAATGAGAGCTTAGAAAATGCTCTTTGGGCCCCTTTCTTGCGGCCTCGTAGCCCATTACCAACACCCTCAAGAGGAGAAGGTTTGCGGTGCTTCCAGCTGGAGCAGCGCCTGCCGGGGGCCACGTACCTGCGAGTTTTTGAACTCGGAGTAGAGGGAGAAGAGGAGGTGCAGGGGCTGGATCCGGCTCTTGTAGACGGGGATGTCCAGAATGGCTACGAGAGAGAGTGGAAACCCCTGAGCGTCTCCGGCTGAGCCTCCCCACACCCCCTGTTGCTCAGGGGGACCAGCATCCGCTCCCCACTGAGGGGAGCAGAGGGTGGTGTGGGCCCCCCGGGGCTGAGCCCGCACCCAGAGGTCTCACGTCGAGGGGGACAGGGACAGGCTGTGTCTCAGCTTACCACAGACCATGTCGATGTATTCAGGCAGGTCACAGCTCATCTCTGCCGTGGGGAGCCCCACCTGGAACAGACGGGGCCCTCAGCTCCCACACGGCACCAGCCCGAGAGCCGCGGCCGAGCCCAGCCACGATCCCAGCATTGGGCTGCTCCCGGCCTCCTGGCAAGGGAGAGGTGGCAACGGGGGCCACACTTGAGCAGGCCGGGCTGCAGGCACAGAGCTCGCTGAGGAGCAGGAGCCCAGCTTCCACAGAAGATGGTTCCTAACGTCACAAACTAACTACTTATTGCACGGACAACGTACCTTCCCCAAGAGCTCCTCGAACTCCGGTGACCATTCCTGCATCAGGGTCTCAATGTCAGGCATCGGCCTGCGAGGGGGAAGAGGCAAAGGGGAATTTTGGGATTACGGGCAGCTGGACCGGCTCCCTCAGGACACCGACCCGTGCCAAGGCCAGAGGAGGGTGTGGAGCAAGGCTGGCCTCATGGTTCACCTGGTGTAGTGGACGGTGGCCGGGGGCTTGCAGCGGTGCAGTTCACTGATGCTTTCAATCCAGCTCTCGATGGCCTTGGGGTTCTTCTCGGCGTTCTCCAAACTCTTCACTTTTATCTGCTGCTGTGAACAGAAATACAAACCTGGGAGCGCTTTGTGGGGTTTCGGGGCTTTTTGGTCAGCCCTGTCCCCGCTGCTGATGGAGCTTTTCTCTCTCCTAGTGCCCTGCACCGACCGATTCCTGGGACAGAGGAGCAGCTGCCACACAAAACGCCCCCTAAACCAGGCATTGGTAACCTCAAGGAAGCAGAGCTTCACCCGAAGGAAGCGGATCCACAGACTCGCCTGAAGCAAGGCTGAGATCCACTGCAGCTTAAAGGAAAAGGTTAGTTGTTTCTGCCTTTAAAGCCAAGTTATGAGTTGTGCTGTGACACTGTGGTCCCACAGACAAAAGTAAGAGTAAAATGGCATGTTTTTGTAGAGGAAGCACCTCCTCCCTCCCCATCACTCACCGTGACGTTGTGCTGCTTGGAGTTCTCCGTCAGCCAGAGGGAGAGCACGGTGGGATCCGATTGCTTGGTCGAGGGCTCGTCCAGGACCAGCAGCCCCAGGTTATCGGGCTTCCCATCGGGCCGGGGCACCTGCGGATCAACACAGACCCTCCTTCCTGCAGGAGCCCACCGCGGGGGCAGTGGGGGCTACTTTGTACAGAGCGGTTTAGAAGTTGGCCCCTAAAAGGCAGGGTCTCTCTGGAACATGAGCTGTCAGTGCAGCACGGCCCGAGGAGCACAAGCTGTTGGACAAGGGGAACTGCAGCCCTCACCCCAAATACTGTATGAGCTGTTTGGGAGGTGACCGAACCCGGGGCGTTTCTCTAGAACATTCTCTCCGACAGAGCAGGGTGAGGGTTCCCCTCGTGCACCAACACCCCGGGTCCTGCGGGAGCAGGTCCAGAGGGGCCTGAAACAACCCTACCTTTAGGAACGCGTCAATGTCCCCAACAGCAGGAATAAAGTCGGGAATAAAAGGCTGCAGTTTGTACTCGATGTCTATCGTTTTGGGAGTGTACCTGGGAAAACCACAGCGTGGGCGGTTGTGACCTGTCGTGCCAAACCTGCCACAACAATTGGCACAAAGGGGAGCAAGAGTGGGCCAAAGCCCCCTAACCTCACCTTTTGATGTATTCAAAGAGCTCTTTGATTTCAGAAGACACGGGCAGGTAGTCAAAATCTGTCAGATTGAAGTCACTAAAGAAAGGAAGAGAAACAGAAAGGTGGGTACAGGCAGGAACTGGGACCCAACTGCACAAGGCAACTGGGAGGGAAGCTGAGGAGACAGGCAGTCACTCCTCTGATACTGAGACCTCTTGCACGTGAAAAACACTCTTGGGCCAGGCTTTGCCTTGGGCCTCCAAGCTGAAAAAATCACTTGAGTGATGGACAGTTGATTATAGGGGACATCAAAGGGTGGATAAGTGATGTGCACAAAGGACCACAACCAGGGGGGTCAGTGATGGTTTTGGAGTTGAAGCCAGAGGAAAAGGGAGGAGGATTTTGAGGAGGTGAATGATGTGTTTGAGATGTTCCTTCTCTTGAGCACTGACTGACAGCAACCTAGGGGCTGGGCCAACACCTTTGCCTTGCTCTGGGGGGTCGCTCCAGCTGCATCTCTCCTGGGGACAGCAAAGGGGGACGGGGAGCATCCGAGGAGCCCCGGGGTGGCTGCCGTTCCTCACACGAAGGAACCTCTTTCTCCTGGGCTACCGGGGTACGAGGAGGAAGGAGCTGCCTGTCCCGATGCCAACAGCGAGCACACCAGCGGAGCCAAACGGGCCCGCACGGCCCTTGCCCAGCACCGGCCCCTGGCTCCTCAGGCCGGTGTCGCCGCTTACCCCTCCAGCGCAGCCCCGCGCTCCTCCGAGTCGTCCTCCGAGTCTGTTTCGGAGGAGTCGTCCTCCTCTGAGTCGTCCGAGTCCTCGTCGTCGTCCTCGCTGAGGGCGGCGGGGGGGGCCGGGCCGGCCGCCTCCTGTAGGCGAGAGGGACCGGGCCTTACCGGGCCGCCCCACGGGGCCGGACCCCCGCCCGCCGCCGGCCCCCGCCCACCTTGCCGTCGCCTCCCTCCTCGTCGCTGCCGCGATCGGGCATCCCAGGCCGCCGGGAGCCCCGGGGGCGGCCCGCTCCCCCCCCCCCCGGCGCGCGGGCTCCGGCCGGCCTCCCCGCCGCGCCGCCCGCCCCCCCCGCCT